TGGGGTTCGCTTCAGTGATGAGCATGCCCTCAGCACAGGTCTGGTTTTCTCTTATGTTACATGTGGGTCTGGACCCCAGTGGTCACCATGGCAGGGCGGGCCTGGGCCTGCCATGTGTCTGCTGCACAGGTGGCTCCTGCATACTTCACAGCCTCTTGGAACTTTGCCAGTCAGACCAGGTCCCGTGCCATGCCAGCCAGGCAGAATGACCGAGGAACGAGGGAGGAACGCTGGGCCACGTGGCCAGAGGTCAGTGCTCCGTAGGTGCCCACACGGGACTGCCTGACATGTTCTGTGGCGGGGTATGCTCTATTTGACATGGGCAAATTCCTCAGTTCCCTGCTCTCTCCCCTTTCCAAACCCTGATCTTTCTACTGTTTTCGGAATTCTGCTGTTTCTAGAGCCGTAGTGAGACCCGTGCTGCACGGGGGCTTTGCAAACTGGCGTCTTTGATTTTACTTAGCACTTTACGTGTGGCTTGTTGCTTTTTATTGCTGGGTGACGTTTCACTGACTGAATGTGCCACGGTTTGTCCCCTCACCTACTGGACCTCTTGCAGCTTCCAAGACTTGGCTTTGGACACAGCTGCCGTAGACACCCCTGCGGGGTTCCCGTGTGTGTGTGTGTGTGTGTGTGTGTGTGTGTGTGTGTGTGTGTGGACTCTCACCTCCTTTGGAGTATTTTGCTCAGTGGTGATAGGAGGAGCGTGTTTGGAGTCCTCGGAGGCTGCAGAGCTGTCCCCTGCAGTGGGCCCACTGTCTTCCCTGCTGGTCCATGACTGTACCAGCCCTGGCCATCAGTGTGCAGAGTTTGGTTGTTCTGGTCGGTGTTGGGGTCCCTCACTGCCCGGGTGTACGTGACCCTGAGCACATTCTAATGTGCTTGTTTGCCTTTCATGCAATCTTCTGGGCAGATGTCTGTTCAGGTGTTTTTTTAAATCCATTTTTAAATTGGTCTGTTGGAGTTCTTGTTAAATTTTGGTGGTTCTCTGTACATATTGGATAATCCTTTACTGTCTGTTTTGTAAATACTTTCTTCCAGTCTGTGGCTTACACTCCCATTCTTTTAATAGTGTCCTTTTTTTTTTTTTTTTTTTTTTGTCTTTTTGAGACAGGGTCTCCTTATGCAGTTCAGGCTGGACTTGAGCTCACTTTATAGCCCAGTCTGGCCTTGAACTTGCAATGATCCTCCTGCCTCAGCTTCCTGAATGCTGGGATTACAGGCATGAGCCACCATGCTCAGCTTAATAATATCTTTTGAAGGGTGTAACATTTAGATTTTAGCATGGTCCAAGTTGTTGGGGTCTGTACCTAGACCCCAACTCCCCAAACAGGTGCACGGCAAAGGCTCAAAGGAATGAGACACACGGCATGGTCTTTAGGGCTGCAGGAGGAGTGAGATCTCGGCAGGTCCTGTTAGCTGGTGGCTGACTGACGCTGGGCAGCCCGTATTTAATCAGGACAAGCAAGGAGCTGAGTGGACAATGGAGGAAATCTGAACAGAACTTAGGAGAGGTTCAAGGACCCCTCAAAGCAACAGATGATGCTGATTAAGGAAAACCATCCAAAAAGTCTCCAGGTGGCCTCTGCTGTGGCCCATCCTGCCCTCTGAGGTGTCTGCTCATTCTCAGTTCACGCATGCCCGGTCCACTCCACAGCCCTGCACATGTACTTAGCCTCAACGATCTCTACCAAGTGATCGGTCCTGTCTCCCATGGATCATAATTTTGGTGTGTGTCTAAAAGCATCCCAAACTCAAGGTATCCTAGTTGAGATTTTGCTTAAAAAAGTTCAATACGAAATGTTAACATATTCTTTGGGGGGGGCAGGGTACTAGGGTACAGGGCCTCATCCATGCCAGACCCAGCACTCCAGTGCACCCCACCAACCATCTTGGGTTCCTGTCTGTATGTGGGTGTCTTTTCTTTCATTGCTGGGACAAAACATCCGACATCCAAAATGAAGGAAGGGAAGGTTTGTTTAGCTCACTGTTTGTGGAGGTTTCGGTCCCTAATCTGCTGGCTCCAAGGCGGGTGGCTCATGGCACAAGGGCAGCGCTTCAAGGCAGCAGCCAGGGCAAAAGGAGGGAAGCAGGAGCCTCTTCTCTTTCCTCACACCCTACCCAGGCCACCCCCACACCCCGGGGTGGGCGTAGCACTCCCAGCACCGCTGTGCCCTCCTCTTGCACAGGACAAGGATATTTACCAAATACAGACATTGGCTCCCTGCTGAGTCTTTCAGTTAAACTTCTAAACTGCTCAAGTTGGCACAATGTATCACCCATAACAGCGCTGGGCAGTGATGGAGCGGCTTCTCCGTGGGACCGGTGCGCGCTCACTTCTGCTCTTCTCAGGCCCAGTCCAGAGTAGTCCTTTGGCCTCTGCTGATCTCAGCACTCGGGTGATGATGCTGTCCAGAGTGGCACAGACAGAACACAGAGCTGGGGGCACTGGGATGTGGTGGGGTTGTGCTGGGGCCCTCATCCCATGCTGTCCGCCAGCTGTTGGGTGGCACAGAGGCTGCTGCAGGTGGTTTGTTGAGGTGAAGGGAGTGGCACAGTCTCCTGACAGCAGGAGAGGCTGGGTGTGGCCTCTCCACAGGCCCTGCCTGTCCCTCTCCCTGGGGCTCTACCCCGGGCACTGACAGCCATGACTCAGTGTACTGGGGACAACCCCAGACAGTCAGGGTGGTGCTCTTCCCTGTGCTTCTCATCACTGCCTGCATGTCTTGAAGATGAGTTGCAGGGTCCGTCCAGAGCTGAGTTAGCCCAGCAGCCAGTGGCCTCAACAGGCAGGGGACATGGACGGGCTGAGGTTAGATGTCACCGCAGCTTCTCTCCCCGGAGCAGGGAGCTGCATGCCAGGCTTCACGCGGCTTCTCAGCACCCAGGGAAGATGGTTTTTCTTTCAGACGCAGAGTGTTGAGTGGTTTGCAGTCTTCTTGCTTCCTGGGCTTTATTTAGATTTATTCTTTTTATAAGATGCTGTGCTCCCTGCTAAATCACCAAGGGGAAGCGTTAGCCAATTACACACTGAACTGGGCAGGAAATGTTGGGTAAAAATGAAGTTTCCATCTGGCAACTTCCAACCAAAATTGCGCGGGGACATGATAGGGAAATCTCCACTAGCAATCAGATGCTCTGTGCTCAGAGTGCTGTGGCAGCTTCTCACTGGGGACAGAAACAGGAGAGAGGCAGGCCGGTTCCGGAGGGTGGCCTAGGTGGAGAGGGGTGGCCCAGACTCTGAGATTCCCAGGCACCTCCTGCCTGGCCGCACATGCAGCCTCCTCTACGTGATATCAGGGTCCCTGCAGCAGTGGCCCACAGGTGACAACTGTGAACCCACTCTGACACGAGCTGTCACCCAGAGCTTGTGGTTCAGATTCTGGCTCCCCTGGTGTGCGTTCTGTGGGTCCGGACAAACGTACGATGAACGCACGTCCTGCAGAGGGTTCTCATCACCGCATGAGTGCTCTGTGCCCTGCCTGCCTGTCTCCCTTCTGACTTCTGGCCAGCACCGAGCATCAGCTGGCCTGTTTCTGAATGCCATAGAGGCCGAGTTGCAGACTGGCTTCTCTCAGTAACATGCGGTGAAGACTCCTCCAGGTCTTTCAGTTTTTCCTTTGAAACAGGGTCTTGTGATGCAGTCCAGTTAGGCTATCAACTCACTATGCAGATCAGCCTGGCCTTGAATCTGTGACCACCTGCCTCAGCCTCCTGAATACTGACTTAGTACTAATTTCTTTTATTGCTATGTAATACCCCACATCTGCAGAAGGCGTCTTGCTTGCTTCCGAGGCTGGCTGGCACTGAGGGCCGCTGTGATAGATGTCCATCCCAGGCTTTCTGGTAGTGAACTTTCCTGGGACAGAGCAGCACCTTCTGTCCTAGTGCCACGGGCCACAGCCTCTGGCTGTGACATTCTTTGCAAGTGGGGTCTCTGCAGATGTAGTTAAGAAGAGGTTGTGTGGGGGACCTCTGTTGCCATTTGATGTCCTCCATGAGGGGACCCTGGGCAGTCACGCAGAGAGGGAGAGGGCCTCAGAAGGAGCCAGCTCTGCCGGCGCCCGAGCTGACTTCCAGGGTCCAGAGCTGGGGGGAGTGCCTGTGCCTGAAGCCACTGCTCTGGGGCTCCATTGTTACAGGGCGCCTGGTCACTCCTATGCCTGGGCATTCATGCCCCCAACCTGGCTGCGACCAGTCAGCATCGGTGCACCCTGCACAGTGCTCTCGTCACAGTCAAGAGCTTTCAAGGGCAGCTCTGGTGCTGCCCAATCTGCCGTGGGTCGGTCACCAGGCCCCGAGGCTGGCAGAGGCACCCCTGGCTTCCAATTGTGCTCACACTGAGGTAAGGGAGGTTTGTGCTCCAGGACAGCAGCCTGTGGGGAGCCCTCAAGGTGATCTTGGCTGGTCCTGGCCTCTGATTCCTCAGGGTCTCTTTGGACTGAAGAGCCAGGGGCCTCGAAGTGTGCGCCCCAGCCTCACGGTGGCCCATGCCCAGCTGGGCAGCTTGCAGCTGACGTGGCACCGGTAGGTATTTCTGCAAGAAAAGCAGCTTCAGCTCCCTCTTCGTTCCCTCAGTGAGGCAGCCAAGCCTCTAAACCCCATTCGTCAAAGCAGCTGGGCTGGACGGGAGACCGCAGCTGACAGAAGGCTGAAGCTGGGCCTGCGATGACCTTGGCCGCCAGGAAATACCCTCTGTGATATCGAAATTAATTATTTCTTAGAGAAATGTCAGCTAGGACCTAACGAGTCTGGGAGCTTAGCCTGTTCCCCACGTCCTTGGCCCATGTGGGAGCCCAGGGCTTGGGCTCCGGTGGGTCCAGGGCAGGCAGAGTGCCCCTCCAGGGTCTCCCAGCAAGGTGGAGGTTCCTGCCCCAGGCCTCAGAGGCCATGGGGAGGAGCCAGGAGCAGGTAGATTGCCCCCCTACCTCGAGGGGAGAATGGTGCGGTGCTCCTGGTGGGCAGCCTGGTTACACCTCCAGCCTCCCATGGGCTCAGCCTCAGGTCTCCATGAGCTCAGGGGGCCCCTGCACCCTCAGAACACAGTCAGGGTTCTCAGGCTGGCCTGCAGGGTCACACAAGGCCCTGGCCACAGTCACTCCTTCCCTGTAGTCACTGTGGCCTGGCTGGGACTGCAGGAAAGAGGCCTCATGCCAGGTGGGCACTGGGCGTGTGGAGGGTGCGTTCCGCAGCAGCAGGTCCCTCCCGTCTCCGAGGAGCCTTCGGGCTGCTCTCCTGTAGCACAGAACTGCAGCTGGAAGGGCGGATCCGAGTATGTGTGACACCGACCACGCTCGGGGCTGGGCTGGCCCCCGGGAAGGCTGTGGTCTTTCTGTTCAAACACCATGAGATACAAGTCGCCAGACCTCAGGTTCTAGTGAGGGCTGTTGGACAGCTTTGGGCAGGGTACCCACTTGTCAACCCAGCCTTACGCCACACTCCCGGAAGAGAGCTGCTTGAGTCTTTGACCTGTCTGTGGTCGCCTGTGGTCCTTACTTGGCTTTTCAGATGAGGACACCAGGCACAGTGGACTGAGCAACTTATGCAAGGAGTCACAGGGAGAAAGTGGCAGGGCTGGGGACAAACCCCAGCGCCCCGGCCGAGGCTTCCAGGCTCCAAGGAGGAGAGTCCCTACAGCCTCCCAGAGCCCAGTGTGGAGTGCTAGGCAGTGCCATGTTCCCATCCCCCAGCTGCCCACCACAGCTTGCCCGTCCAAGACTGTCCTTGTGGCTGTGGGGAGATCAAAGCCCTCCACCCCCAACTTCCTGGGAGGTGACTGATACCAGAGATTAGCTCCCCAAACAATTAAAAATCCTGTTTACCGGAACTGGGACTATTTTGGGTTTCACCTTTCAGCCAATCAATGTGCAGTCCGAACGGTCAATACTGGCTTGCTGGTGCTCGGGAAAGAGGCTGAGGGCTGGGAACCAGCTCCAGGGCCTCTGGAAGCAGACAGTGAGGGGGTGCTGGAGGAGGTCAGGGTGCAGCACTGAGCCCTCGGGCCCTGCAGGGGATCCCTTTGGGGTAGGGGTGGCGCTGTGACATCACATCATCCTGGTCAGAGCCATGCGTTAGGGCTACCTGCTGGCCCTGATGTCCCCAGGGCTGGGGAGGGCTGATGCCTCAGTGCCTCTGGGGACCCCAGTCTTTCCAAGGAGCTGGAACCAGGAGGGGGTTGTATACACATGGGAGCGGGGCATACTCAGCCCCCACTCCAGGGCAGCTCTGCAGCAAGGGCCATGGAGACGGCTGGGGCCTGCAGCCCTGGAACACTAGGGACAGGTGGGGGACGCTGCCTGCTCCCATCCTGCGCCCCACAGCATCCTCTTTCCCTGTGACCTCGAGGTGCCCATGTGTGTCCCCCCAGCAGCGCAGCTCTTCTGAGCCTTGGCGAACACCTCCTGACAGAGGGAGATGGGCTGGCATGGCGGCCTCCCAGGGGAGCTCCCAGAGCAGCTTCTTGCAGTTCTCCAAGGTTGATTCCAAGTTGGAACAGCCACCCCAGAACCCTGTCCACCTTTGCAGAGCAGGAGCTGGAGAATCAGGACGAACCCTTTACCGACCTTAACACACGTTCTGTGTCCACTCTCTGGCTTGATGCTTCGAATGGTTCTGCGGGGATGGATAGTGGCTCTGGACTGGAGGCCAGAGTCAGAGGGGGCTGGGGCAGCACCACCCCTCGGGTACCAGCCAGGCCTCCTGCTCATGGGCATGGACAGCTCTGCCTCAGGGCTGCTCACTGTAGAGAAGGGGGAAGCAAGCCACTCCCCAGCCCCGGACGATGGGGCCCCAACCCGAAGGCTGAGACTCAACTGACCACTCCTGTCTGCTGGCCCTCTCCTGACCCACCCTCTGGGGACTTCTAGCTGTAGAGCTGGACCTGCGCTGCTGCAGATGTGATGCACCCACAGCCTCGTTTCCCGCTGTCCCCAGTGCAGAGGGCAGTGCAGGGAGTGTGGTCACTATCCTGGGCAGCCTCTGCCCCTTCTGGGGCCACCAGTACGTGACCGCATGGGGCTGTGCCTTCAATCTTTGATCAGTGCCACTCTTGGTACCAAGAGTTCCAGGCCAACTGCCAAAGCCTCTGCGGTACCCTTGTTAGTTGGTCACTCGAGTGGCCATCAGGGCCATCAGGTGGCTTTCTTTTAGAGACAGGGTCTCACTCTGCAGCCCCTCCTGGCTGGTCCTCCTGCCTCGGCCTGTCAAATGGTGGGGTACAGTTCTGCACCACCACCCTGGCTCAGCACGGATTTGTGTTTAAGATTGATCCCTGGAGCAGTTCTTGATGAGCTCATTACAAAGCCCAATGGGGTGGTGGGGCTGAGCGCGCCTGTGCACTCACTGTGGAGGGGAGCTAGCCCCCTGCTCACCTCGAGGTGGGTGAGGGAGAAGAAGTGGGGTGGGAGAGGGGAGGAGGAGTTGTCCCTTAGGGTTCCAGAAAATGCGGAATGAAGTGCTGGCTGGCTGGGAGCAGCGGCCCTGGGCGTGAGGCACACACTTTGTTGACTGCCACGTCCCCCATCAGGCTCCCACTCCCCCAAGTGGCCCTGGTTTTTGCCTCCAGCCCAGAGGGAGGCCTGAGGGGGGCCAGGTCTGGGAAGGTGGGCTGGGGATGGGTCTGGGGTAGACTGACCATTTTGCTAGCACTCATCTTGGGCTTCATGGTCAGCCCGGCATGTGCTGAGGATCGTGAGCTTGTCCTGAGACTGCCTGGTCCCTGCCCTGGAGCAGGGTCAACTCAGAGTCAAGTCCAAGGAATGAGCCTTGGCAGAGGCTGGGGGAGGACAGGTCTCTGCAGGTCCAAGAGCCACCTGTCCAGGGGATGAGGCCCAGGCCCCAAGTCCTGAGTATCACATGCTCACGCATTGCCCTTGTCAGCTGGACCCTCATGGATGGGAACTGTCTTCTTTCCTAGGTGAAGGACCCAAGCCCAGGAGAGTGAAGGCTGGGCACTGCTAGAACCCCGGCTCCCGTGTCGCCCCCGTCCCCAGTCTGTGACCGTGGGGGCAGCTCAGGTCCCTGAGAAAGGTTATTCTTGGGTCTGCCCCGCAGTGTGGGTCTGGGCTGAGGTCAGCCCCCAAAGTGTCCTGGCTGGGCACCAAGGCCAGCTTTGCTCCTGGCTATGTGCTGGAGCTTCAGGCCCAAGGGTGATAAGTGTCCTGAGTCTCTCCCCACAAGCAGGGCACTGTGACCCCAGTTCTCAGAGGAGGTCCGAGTGTCCACTGGCCGGCTGACTTGGGTCCTTGCATTCTGCTCTGGCTTTGTCCCAGCATTTGGCGGAGTGTATGACACTTTCTGTGGCTTCTGCAAATCCTCTGACATAAATGAGGTGGGTGTGTCCCACCTCTGCCAGGGCTTCCGGACTGGCACAGAGGGGGCCCCTGTTCCTGGGGAGGAGTGCCCACATCCTGGGTGCACAGAGTCAGTGTTGCAGCCCCTAGGGTCTGGCCCCCAGGCCCACCCCAGCCTCTATTCCCTGGCCTTGAGAAATGAGCCTCCCCCCCCCCCCCGTCCTGGGGCTTCGGACCCCAGAAGGAGTCCTGAACATCTCCAGGCCTTGCGAACTAATGAGAGCACTGGGAGGTGGAGGGGCAGCGGGAGCCGGAAGGAAACGTCTGTTTTTTGGCATCCGACAGCCTCTGCAATGACATAATCAGAAGGTTCTTACTGACTGGGCAGTAAAACAGCTCATAACTGTGGAGGCACAGCTCCTGAGCCAGGCAGCCTCACAGCCCTGGGGAAGGTCACTCCGGGGTCTCAGGAGAGCACCTTGCGGGCCGCAGCCCCGCAGGCGGGTGTGTGTATGTGTGTGTGTGTGTGTGTGTGTGTGTGCAGGGGGTCCTGCGCAGTGCCCCTGTGCTTCCTGCTCACTGCCCACTGCCCCCTTGGCCTGATCGGCTGCCTCCTCCACCATGACACCTGGGATGCTGCCCAGGACCTGTGCCTGAGTCCTGGCAGAGCTAGGGCAGAGGGAGCTGGGATGTTGTCCTGCGAGGGAAGGGGAGAGGGGGGTGCAGAGGAGGACGGAGGGCCTGGGGGTCTCAGGAGTGGGGAGGAGCTGAGCTGGCTGCGGCTCCCATCTGCTGTCTCAGGGTGGGGTGCAGAGCAGGCACGGCCGATGTCCCAGCAAGAAGCAGGATCACAGCACTCTGAGCTCCAAGGCACCCCTGACTTCAGGACCTGGGGACTTGGAGGAGGCAGCCGGTGAGGAGGCTGCTGCTGGAACCTCCCAGGCTGACATTGTGACTCACAAACACAGGCTTTGGTGGAGCCCAAACCCCAGTGTGTGGCTGCCGGCCTCACTCCCCAGGGACCACCCCAGGCACCTCCCCGACCCACGAGGGATGCAGTCTGGGCCAGGCTGGGAGCCACACGGAGATGGGGCCAGTGGCAGATGTGGGACCAGTGCACCCCCACAAATCACCACAGAAAACATGGGCTCATCATCCTAGTCTCCGTGGTTGGAAGGCCAGGCTGGGGTGCTGGGTACTTAGCATGGGGCCACCAAGCTAATATCAAGGTGCTGATTGATCTGGGTCCCCCGAGGCCGAGTCCTCTTGCAGATCCATGGGATTGTTCCTGAGCTCAACTCCTTGAGGCTGTAGAGTGCAGAGGCTGTTTTCTGTGGCCAGGGCTGCTGGTCCTGGAGACCCTGAGGCCCCACGGAGAGTCCACATCTCTGCGACACCTACCCTGTCAACTTCCTGATGAACCTGGGGTGTGGGGTTCTGATCACAGCAGTAATCAAAGGATTGCCATTCAAGGGATTTGGGGCCCCATGACATGGATCTGGGGCTTCCAAAAGAAGCTGAGAAACGGAACCCCTTTCCACCAGGCCAGGAGGCAGGTAGAAGGCCCTGACCTCTGGGCCAAGGAGGGTGAAAGGTCCCCAAGGGAGGGTCTCCTGGGCTGCACTGCCCTCATGAGCAGGGGTTTCCCATGGATGCTCTGCAGTACAATCCTGGGACAGCATCCCCAGAGCTGGCAGTCCCAGCCCGGGCTCCTGGTGGAGAATTTCCAGAAAGGATCCTCACTCCTCTGCAGGTGAGTCCCTGGATAAAGGTGGAGTCCCTGTCGCCAGCCTGCTATCTCTCTGAAAAGATACTCGAGGACTCTGGTTCAATAATTTATCAGGGAATGTAATAAATTTGAGGAATACCTCCCAGGTTTGGAGAACTCACATTTGACTTCCTCCTGGAGTTTTCCTGGCAGGCAGCACTATTCATCAGGATTTCACGGAGCTCCATTTGCTGAGTGGACGGCTCCCCAGCAGGGTGGTACTCAACGGTAGTGGGCCTGGGAGGAGGGCATTGTCCTGGGGACCCCAGAGTGTGGCCAGCTGTTAGGCTTGGGGCTTCCTTCTCCACATGGTTACAGAGGCAGGCAGAGGCAAATGGGGCTCTTGGGAGGACAAAGGGGAGCAAGCCACAGCCACAGGCACAGGGAAGGCTGGTTAGGGTCCCCATTCCCCTCGGCGGAGCTGTGCCCGAGCCAACCTGCTGCCTAGAGTGACCGTCCAAGATGTCACAGGTCCTCCTCTAAAGGAAGAGGTGAGGGCTCCAAAGGGGTCCCCTGCAGACTGCGGGGTGTAGATGAGATGCCTCTGCACAGCTGCAGAGCTGGAGCCCACTGGGTAGGGAGGCGGCACCAGGTCCACACGAGGGCCAGATGGGCCTCGGGCAGCTGCTTGTGTGGGGACACCAGTGTCGCAAGCAGCACTGGAAGGAGGAGCAAGAAGGGGAGATGTTGGGGGAGGGGTGGGGGAGAGAAGGTTTTCTAGAATTGGTGGCCTGAGCACAGTAGCAGCTGCTCTTCATTTGTGGCACAAATTTCCTTCCTTCCTTCCTTCCTTCCTTCCTTCCTTCCTTCCTTCCTTCCTTTCTTTCTTTCTTCCTTCCTTCCTCCCTTCCTTCTTTCCTTCCTTCCTTCCTTCTCTCCCTCTCCCTCCCTTTCTTTCTTTTTTTTTTTTTGTGCTAAGGGTTGAACTCTTGTGTGTGTTGGAAAGTCCTCTACCTCAGTGCATGACACATGCTTAATCTGTCAAGTGACTTTGTGGCCCTCATCTCAATCTCTTCCAAAGAAACAGCGTCAGCCCCGCCCCCCCCGCCCCCCCACTCTGATGCACCTGCACCCTGTCGCAGTGCTGGGGAGCTCAACGCAGTGGACGGCTGATCTAGGGGCATCGGCAAGCTCCACGGTGAAGCAGGACTTCTGGTGGTGTGTCGTAGTGTCATGTCCGGGAATGCTTCCCTGTGCCAAACCCCAGAGTCCTGGGGGAGAGACAGACACGGACGGTGTCTCCCTGGATTGGCCACAGTCCAGTGTGGCTGGGGCTGAGGACAGAGCAGCCACTAGTGGGGAGATGGAGCCTGAGCCACAGCCAAGGCAGGGTCACCCCCTGAACCCTGCAGAGACCCTCACTGTGAGCCCTGCCAGGTGGCCGTGTCCACACAGACTGCTTGTCCTTTAGCTGGTGCTTCAGAGCACCTGCAGGTGTGGCGCTCCTTTCGGGACTTGGTGGCAGCTCAGCACAGGGCCTCTGACCCCATGGCCTCCCTAGCCCTGTGGCTGTGCCCTCTTAGCTAAGGCCGGGTATGCCATGCCCTCCCGACAGCCCCCCCAGGTGCAGCGAGCACCCCATCGCAGCAGCTACTGAACCACAGGCAGAGGAGGGCAGCAGGCTGGACAGGGTCGCCTCGGCCTCAGACCTGCAGACAGCTCGGAGCTCATCTTTATGTTGTTCGAGGCCGTTGAGACGGAGATGGACATTTGGCACCATGACGGCTCAGGACAGCCGAGCTCAGACTCCTCTGGGTGTGCGCAGGACTGCAGAGAGAGCGCACTGTGACGTGGGGCGCAAGATATATCCCTGTGGGCCGGGTCACGGCCTGCCCAGGGCTGCTGGGCTCAGCACCCCGGCCGCCACGGGCTGCACCCTTGGGGAGGGTGCGGCTCCCACTCCTATCCCAAGTGCACGGTGACATTTATAAATGTTATGTGCAGGGAGCCAAAACCCATCCCAGCTGAAACAAAACCCCAGAGAGCGCCCGCGTGGGCCCCGAGAAAGGCAGCCTGGTGGCGGCTTTTCCCTCACCCGCCGTGGGGCTCAGCCTGGCAGTGCGTTTGGCAGCGGTTCAGTTCCAAATCCAAATGAGTTTGGCGTTTTTTAAAAAAGCACCTTTATAACAATTCCAGAATGAATATTTATAGGGCAGGGACAAGGGCCCAGCTAATTGTGGCTGAGTCTGTAGGATCAACGCTTTCCAGCTCCCAGAGGATGCAGCCGCAGCAGGGAGACGGAGCCTCCTTCCCTGCTCGGCTCCTCCTAGAAGGCACCCAGGGAGAGGGAGACCCCAAGGAGCATGTGGACACCATGCAGAGTCAGGCCCAGCGGGTTCCGGGATCAGGGCCCTGCGGCAGGGTGTGAGGTCATTGCAGGAGAGCAGCAAGCTCTGCCCAAGCCAGGGAGCCAGGGCCCTGCAGGCAGCCTCAGAGAGGCCTGTCTGCTGCCCACCCTCTTCAAGGGATCCCTGGAGGAGGGGAGAGGGGAGACAGGACTTGGCCCTTCCTTCTGCTGTGACCCTTGGATCGCCAGAGAGGGACAGGCATGGCTCAGCTGGGTGCCTCCTTCAGGCTTGAAGCAGGAATCCTCTGTCCCAAACACAGCTTCTCAGGGTCCGGCATGGGGAGGTCACGCTCCTCACTTGCTTGAGAGTTTCATCCTCCCCACCCCAACCTGGCCTCTGCCCTGCCCGCCCAGCCTCTGCCCTGCACCAGGGAGTAACACTCATGGGCGGAACCGGTCTGAAGTTAAAGGGTCTCTGGCTCTGTCTGTTTTCCGTGTTCCATGTCTCCAGTGCTAGCCTCCTTCCTGGGTCAAGGAGGACGCCCTGCTGGGAGGAGGAGGCAGGCAGGGATTGGCAGCAGGATGGGAGCCCTGGGCTCTGGGAAGGCTCCCGCCAGGCCAGGCCAGCCTAAGAGATCTCACCTGGGTTCTTCCCAGCATCCCCACACCGGGCCTTCTCAGTCTCCCTTGGACCCCTGCCTGGCTCCGTCCTGTGCTGATGAACCTGGGGGGAGGAGGGGATTAAGGGGAGGGCTGGGCATGGGGTCAGCTGGCTCACAGGTGTGGTCTGCCGGACCACTGAGACGCACATACACTTCCGAAGTGCTCACTTGTTCCTGGCCCAGCCTGCCCTGGACCGCGCCCCCTACCCTGTCTGCCTGGCAGGGGTCTGTTTGAGAGCATGTGGAGGCCGGCAGTGGCCAGGCCTCGGTTGGGCCAGGAGATAGCTGGGAGCCGTGCCCCGCCTGCTGCCCACCTGGTGTGGTGGGCTGGTGGTAGCTGGGTTGCTCCTGTCCTTCAAGGGCTCTCGGTCCACATGGGGCCTCCTCTCTGATGTGTTCCTGGATTGCTCCCAACGAATGTCACAGCGATCACTGAGTGAGGGTCACTCTAAGGCCCAGCCCAGAGGAAAAGGGTGGTGCGGACACTGGGGGCAGTGAAAGGACAGTTGCCTAGAATCAGGTCTGGGCTGTGAACCCTGGTGTCGGGCAGCTTCCTGAGACGGCCCATTCTTGGGCACCCGGCCCCCAGGGCCTGCAGGGTCGATAGAGACCTGGCAGCAGACGCTGGTCACCTGTGAGGGGCACTGGCCAGGACACAGGCTCCTGGAGGAACCAGAAACAGAAGGGGGCAAGCCTCTGTTTCCTTCCTCTGTGCTGTGGCGCCCTGGCCTCATCTTGTACAGAGAGGCCTGCCTGGCCTCCTTGCTTCCCTGGCGGCCCTGCACTGGGTCAGGCCTGGGGCTGGGCTGGAGAAGTGTGTAGAGGCGATCGGTGGTTCTGGAGTGCTTCCTAGAAACTCGATCTTCAAAAAAGGTGGAAGAGATGCTCCGGGAGCCTACATGGTTGGTAGAGTCCTGGAGGCAGCACCAAGTCCAGGCTGGGTTCTGGACTCCCAGAAGCTCAGCCCCACAAGAGCAGCGAGGGAGGGGGCTCCTGAGAACTGAGACCCCCTAGACCCCAGGGCCCTCTTGTCCCCGAAGGCTCTGGGTGGGGCAAGTGCTGGCCTGAAGCTGCTCAGTAACCCTGGCTGGAGGCTCCGCATGGAGCTGTGTGGGCACCTGTGTCTCATGACAGGCGAACTGTCACCATTCTGGATAGGCGTCTCCAGCTGGAGACGAACTGCTCTCTGCTGACACCGTGGAAGTGAAATACACCTTTCTTTACGGGCTGCCAGGAGGTTTCCCTCTGCTATGAAGGGAGTGTGCCATTACTTGTTCTGCGGGTGTGCCTGTGTTCACGTCGCACACCCGCTCTGGCGGTGGGCAGCCGCCAGGTGTGGGCTGCCATCCTGCGCTCTGCACATCGCACCCGTAGCCCTGATCCCCAGGTTGCAAGGCTCCCCATGTGGCCATGTGTGCCAGGGGAGTGGTGTGGGGTGGGTGGAGGGCATGGCGTGGGGTCAGCGGAGGCTGGTGGCATCCCAGCTTTTGTCTCCCCCGGGAACCTGCAGTGTTCATTGGCCCAATAAGGGCTCTGAGCAGGCTGGCACAGTGTCCATGTGCTGGCCACAGAGCCCTAGGCTCCAGGGCAGGTGCTGGGCAGGAGGGGTTGCCAGCTCCCTATTAGGTTTAGACTGAGGATGCCCCTGCCCCAGCCTCCTGTGCTTGCACTGGCTCGAGGAAAGTAAGTAGATCACAGGGTGCTGTGCTTATCATGGGATCACACCGGAAGAGGTGGGCGGGGGTGTGAGCCGGAAGTGTGTCTCCATCCCGGCTCCTCCTTACCCTCTTTTTCCTGGCCACCGTGGTGTGAGCAGCTCTTCTCCAGCTGGCCTCCTCTTCCAGCCAAACGTGGACTAAAACTTCTAAACTGAAGCCAAAATAGATTTCCTCTCTATGTTAAGGTGTCATCCATGAGGAGAGTAACTAAGACCAGCCCCAGGCTGGGCAGAGAGACAGGTCACTGGCACAGCCTCTAGCCCTTCTGACCTCCCCTCCGTGCTCCGTCTCCTCCCCAACCTGCAGCTGCCCCGTCCAGCTGTTCAGGAGCACAGCTGAGGCTGTGCAGGGCAGCAGGGTCCAGGCTGGCGGGGCCTCTGTCCTGGGCTGCGTAGCCAGCGGCTGTGCATCTGGTGGGTTAAATACACATGCCGCCTTTTTTACAGATCTGGAAGTCAGAAGCCTCAGCCATGGAATGTCAGGGCTGGTGCCTTGGGAGCTGAGGAGAGAGCCCACATCCTGCCTTTCCCTGCCTGAGAGCTGCTCCAAGCTGTGCCTCTGTCCTCCATCTTCCACGCTAGCTGTGCGCCCCATCTCCCTCCCCATGATCACATAATTGGGGACACCACCCATCTCAGGATCTTTAACTTTTGTTTTGTTTGAGACAGAGCCCTGAAGTAGTTCAGGCTGGCCTTGATTTTGGGCTCCACGTGCCTCAGCCTCCCAAGTGCTGGGATAACAAGCGTGTTATCCCACGCCATGTTACTATGCCTGAGCAGGTTTTTTTTTTTTTTGGTCTTTTTCCTTTTTATCGGTACCGGGGATTGAACTCGCGACTGCCCGCTTGCAAGGCAGGCGCTTACGCCACTGAGCTAAATCCCCAGCCCCCAGGATCATTAACTTAATTCTGTCCACACAGTCCCTGTGGCCATGGAAGGTGGCACAGTCAGTCCTGGGGATCAGGCTGTGGGCATCCTTGGGGGAGGGGGTTGCTCTGCTGCCACCCAGACGCAGTTTCAGCAGAGCGTGGGGTTGGGGTGTAACCTGTGATGCGCCTCACACCTCCCCCAGCAGATCTGACTGCGGCCCCAGGGGACGACCCCAAGAAAGCGGCAGCTGGGCCCTGTGTCCAGGGCTGGGCAGCCCCGACTCCAGTTGTAGGGATGGGGTAGGGGCCGGGGGGCAGGCTCATCTCTTTTCCCAGTCAGGGTGGAATTCATGTAAGATGACAACAAACTGTTCTAAGCGCACACACCGGAGGCCTTTAGGCCACTGCTCGGCCATCACCTCTACCTGGTTCCGGAACATTTCGGCCCCCAGAGGAGCCCGATGCCGCAAAGTACTTGCTTCCTATCCCCACCCCCCCTCCCCCGCCCGATAGCCAGTCTGCCTCCGTCTCTGGGTTTGCTCTGCTGGACAATCCATGGCCATGGGCTTCTGCGTGTCTGTCTTCTTTCCCGTGGCAGCCGGTCTTTAGATGCACCCACGTCACGGCGGGCGTGGGCTGCAGCTTCATTTCTCTCTCTGGCCTGAAGCCTTCCCACGGCAGGAGTGTGCCCCTCCGTGGGGAGGGACCTAGGCTGCGTCCCGTTTGGCCCCTGTGAGCAGCACTTCAATTCCCGTGGGCATGTGCTAGGGTCCATGAAGGGGCTTCCCGGCGGGGTGGCCAGGGTGAGGGTTGCGGGGAGGGCTCTGCGCAGGCCCAGGCAGCAGGGAAGGGTTCCCTGGGACGGTTACGGGGTCAGTTCCAAGGAAGTGGCCTGCTTGGTCTCCGGGCTTGGCTTCTAGGTAGAGGTCAGTAGATTTCCTAGGAGAGACACGTCAGGTGCCGGCTCTCTGATGAGAGGGCTGGGCTCTCGTCCTGCTCCCGGCAGAGGTGGGCGAGGCCACCGTGCCCCATGTCATGGCTGGCCCCTGTCGAGGTGTAAAACACTGTGATGACCCTGGCCTGCGGCAACACCAGCAACACCAACATCTGCCGGAGCTTTGCCTCACTGTGGGTGACCAGCGTCTTCCCGGTGTGGGGCAGCTCTGGCTGGAGCCTACAGATGCCTCCCATGACAGCCACTGCTGCCAGGGCTGTGACCCTCACTCACCAGGGCTCTCAGGGTCCCGGGCTGGGTGAACTTCCTGGCAGGGTGTCCTGGTCCTCCAGTTGCGCTGACTCTCCAAGGGCGCTTGCCTGCATGTTTGCCCATAGAAGACCCCAGTCTCGCTCCAAATCCCTGTGCTGGCCACAGGTCATCGGGGCTCCAGCCAGAGAGGCCCCGCTGTGACCACTTGCTGCCCTCAGCCCTCGTCACCTTGCAGGCAGTGGAGCCATCACCAGCTCTTGGAAAGTGGTTTTCATTAAGTCATTCGCTCACTGGGTCCCTGGAGCACCAGAAACAGGTGCCGGAAGACCCCAAGGGGCTCCCCCTCCGCCTCCCCAGGGCCGGCCTTAGGGTTGTGCTGCAGATGCTCTTGCTATTGGCTCGGGAAGCTCGAGGTCACTTTGCTGAGGCCCAGAGTGAGCTGGAGCCCAGGGCGGGGTCCCTCGCCTGGAGCGATGTGGGCAGAAACTGCAGGCTGGGGCAGCTCTGGCTCCACTGCCACCCTTGGTGTCCCCAAAGCTGCTGGCGCCCTGCCCCCCTTGCCTGCTGCTTTGAGGTCCTTGCATGGGGAAGGTGAGGTGCCTGGGGATGTGGCTCCACTTCCCCAAATTCCAGAGGCCCCCACCTGGGAGCCAGCCCCATGGGACCACCCAGAAAGCTGATTCCCAGGCAGTACGAGGGCAAGGGCATCTTCTTCACCTCCAGGATACAGGTCCCCTACTCTCCTCTGGCATCACGTTCTGACTTCCAGGCCCTGGGTGTGGGGCTGACTCCAGATCTGAGGAAAGGACAGGGCTCAGGGAGGCAGGAAGATGAGGGGCAGGGAACTGAACCCCCCATGTTCCTTTCCCTAGGTACATGCTGTACATGCACTGTGCCTTCCTGAGCCTCAGTGTGGTCACCTGCAAAATAGGCCCAAGAAGCCACTTGGTGTCAGCTCTGTCTCCCTCTCTCCTTCCCAGGATCCCTGTCCCTGATGACCTCTTTCTCTTGCAGGCACTTCCGCTTCATCAGGGAATCTTGTGGGCAAACTGAGGCTGCAGCCAGAGCAGGGCCATACTCCCATCCAACCTCAGCCCCACTGGCCTGGCCCTGCTGCAGGGGCAGCTGGGGCTCCTGAAGCTCAGACGGCGCTGCCCTGGTCCTATAGTGACCCTGAGTGGCCATGGGGTGCCATGGGGCAGTGTCCTGACTTGGGTACATGATGCCCACGCACGCCCAGGCCTGGGCCACGTAGCCTATCACCACCAGAGACCGTGTCACTGCTGCCTGCGTCCACTCTGGCCTCTGTGCTGTCCGTCTTGCATCCCAGCCTTGACCCCTTCCAGGCCCGGGTGTTCTTCCTGGAAACTGCTGGCTTTGTCCTCACTTGGGCTATGTACATCCTGCAGCCCCAGGCCTTCCTGCAAGGCACCCCCTGGTGCTGCCCTCCACCGCATTTCCTGGTAGATGGCCTCCCCTCAGTGTCCAGCACACTGGCTCATTTGCACACTGTTCCTCAGCCTCGGTGCAACACAGCAGCCAAGAGCCACGTGTGGCCACAGTGTAACCTGAGGTGAGGCAGAGTCATGTCAGAGAAGACCTGGGAGTGCGGCAGCCTCCTGTGGGCAGGGGCAGCCTGTGTGGTGACCGGCAAGGGGCTTCTCAGCTCTGCCTTCCTCACCTCCGCAGACCTGGCTTCAGTCAGTGCCTTCTTGCAGGACAGACCCAGGAGCTGGGTGGTGGTCCTGGAGCCGTGGCCCTGTGCTCTGCTAGGGCTGGCCTGGAGTGGACACAGGGCCCCCTCAGGTGTCCTGAGAGCACACTTGGAGGGGTTGCACTGCCTGCCTGGCCAGAGGGAACAGCCCAGAAGCGCAGGTGTGAGAGGCTTGCAGGCCGATTCTGGAACGAGAGGGCCTCTCAAGGCCCAGGCTCTGGATGGCGCTTGACGACTGGCACAAACTTGCCACTCATGTCTCTGGGCGTGCCTGCTTCTGGCCTTCTACGAGTGGGTCCCCATGTCACTTCACAGTCTTGGGGAGTCTGCAGTGGGAGGAGAAGTCTACTCAGTGCCACATAGCCTGAGGGGAGTGTGGGTCGGCCCAGGCCACTGGACTCTGGGTCTGGGCGCGGCTGGGCCCTGGCACATGCCTGTTATGTAATTCAGTCATTCCCCTGGGATGGGGCGCTCCCAAATGGACCAGCACCATAGACTTGGGGTCTCCCAGCCTCAAGACCTTGATGGTGAGGCCCAGGTGAGAGGTGGCCAGCAAGTTGCTCGGACAAGGTGACTGGTAGCGCTCAGTACAGGGGCTCAGCTTCACCGCAGCAAAATGGCAAAACCACGGGGAAGCCTAGGTGGCCCAGGCTGGGCTCAGCACACAGGAGGCCAAGGGCACCCAGGGAGGCAGCGCCCCTCCCTGGCCCTGCACCCTAGAGTGCCTGGGTCTCTCCAGGGCACCCCAAGGGACGAGGAACGGCTGGCATGGCCTTAGAGGCTGCTGCCCGCTGCCGAGGAGGCGCCTCTGTACCGGGCTAGGCTAAAAATAGCAGAGGGGATTGCAGGGCAGGGACAACCGGTGGGAGGCTTGTCAGGGAGGGGCGGGAGGGCGGCTGCCGCCTGGGCTGGGGACAGGGACCTCGTCAATGGCGCTGGGCTCCCACCCTGTTCCTGGCTGCCAGGCCGGCCTCGGCCCAGCTGACAGGCTATTTTTTCCCCTGCTTGACTAAATATGGTCAGGGAGCACGGCCCGAGGGGGGCCACTTGGCCGGGCGGCGTGTTTGGGATGCTTGGCCGGGTATATAAGAGCTGCCAAGGTGAGGCTTCTTCTGATCCCGGGCCCCCACACCCGCTCCAGCCGGGTCGGGCCCTGCCCCTCCCCTCCCCCCGCCTGCGTGAGCCTCCGCATGTGGGGCCGCGTGCATGTGCGAGCGTGCACACCCGCGGGCCTTCCCTTTTGTTCCGCCCTGACCTCTACCTTGTGCCGCCCGCCCGGGCTGGGGGTGCAGGAGCTTCCTGCAGATGCGCCGGAGCGCAAGGTGTGCAGCGGGCAGCGGCTGCCTCTCCTTCCTTAACTCTGCACCAGCGGCTCCTCTCTCTCTCTCTCTCTCTCTCTCTCTCTCTCTCTCTCTCTCTCTCTCCCCCCCACTCCCTCCTTCTCCCTCAAGAGCTCCTTGCTCTGCTAAGTCTGCGCTGCTGCAGGAGGACTGGGGGGCAGGGGTGCGGAGCTGGGGTGCTCGGTGTCTTCTTCCTCTCTTCTCTACCTCCCCCCGAGTGCGGACGCCGGGAGCTCGGCCCGCCCCCACCCCTGCGTTCGCAATTGGCTCCGGGAGGAGGCGGCTGGCGCTGCCGCTGCTGCAGCATCTCCCGGGGAGCCGCGACCCTGCACCCGCCGCCACCGCTGCCGCCTCGGTCACCAGCTCAGCCCGAAGGGCGCCCTGGGCTCCTGGTGAGTCCCCCAGCCCACGGCTGCAGCCACCCGCCCTCTGGGATGGCTCCCGTAAACTTGCCCAGTGCTGCGGTGGGGGTGTGCCCGCCGGCAAGGCGAGTGCCAGTGGGTGCCGGTGCTGAGTGGCTCCGACGCGGTGCCTGGAGTTTTCTCTTGCGCGTGGCACCAGCCACACATTTGGAAAACTGCAGAGCCAGCAGCCGGCAGGGCCAGGAGGGCGAGTCCAGCTGGGATGCGGGAACTTTGACACGCGGGCTTTCCACAAGAAACCAGCCACCCCTAGGTGCTTGGGGGTGCATGCTGGATGGGGTTGCCGGTCAGGGGCTGGGGGTCACCAAAGGGGGGCGGGGGAGCTCCGCTGACCTGTCGAACTGCAGCAGAGCCCCAGCAGCTAGGATTGTGGCGAAACTTACCTTGGAACTTGCAGCATTGACCGAGGCGCGAGTGGGGGCGGGGATCCCCAGCAGGACCGGCAGGGAGGCTGCTCCTGATTGGGGCTCGGGATTTCCGGGGCTCTCCCAGCCCTTGGGGTCTGGCACTCGTGGGTGGAGACAGGGGCTGGGGAGAGCAGTCGGTGTGGTCTGGGTTGTGAGTGGCCCTGCAGGGAAGCATGGCTCCCGCATGGCTGGGCTGGAGCGCGGTATGGAGGGGGCGGGGTGGGGCACAGCCCTCCCGGCCGGAGGTCTGCTGGAGGGCGGCTGATGCTGCTTTTCTGTGCAGGTGGAAAACTTTTGGGGAAGTGACTGCCTCATTTGTAAGTGGGCAGCTGTTCCCGTGGACTCAGGCTGAGCCCGGGCTGACTTTCCTGCCCTTTGGGTCCCCCCAATTTCTGCTTGACCCCCAGGTGCTACCGAATGAATGCCTAGGGGGCTGGAGGGGGGGGGGCTTGAGCCTGGAGGGAGGGCTGGGCGAGGGGACTGTCTTCTGTCCACTTCAGAGCCCCATTCCCAGAAGGCTCTCTGGGGGGCACACATAGCAGCCTCTCTATCTACCCTTGGCTCCACGGAAGTAAGAACAGCGGTCACGTGGACGAGGGTACAGGGTCTCTCTCCTGCCCATGGGGCACCTCGCAGTGCACCAGTCCCCTCCTCCAGCCCAGCCCTGACCGCCTGCAGCTGCCATGGCCCAGGACCCGAGAGAGGTGTTCAGGTGCCTGATGCGCTGCGGGCTCTGCAGACACGAGGCGCTGCCCAGCGGCAGGAGAGTCCAGGCACCCTCTGGGCTGTCATCTCACAGGGATGGGGGCAGCCAGGTCACACTGGACATCGTCTTGCTGACGAGGGAGAACTGGACGTCCTTTCAGGTCCCAGGGCTACCCTCCAGCCCCAAGCCAGGGCTGGGGGCCCAGCCAGACCCCTACTCTGCAGATCCTGAATGCACCCCGGCAGTGGTGTCCTCACCGCACTGGCACCTGAGGTGACATCCTCTTCCGAGCTCCAGTCGCTCACCTGCTGGCCTGGCCTTGGGCTGTGTGGAGGCCTGAGAGTCCCTCGGGTCTCCTCCTCCTCGGCCTCTTTTTCCTCCAGGCTGAGGGTGGCCTCCCCAGCCGAAGGGTCGCATTGGCCTCTTCCTTTGTATTTTCGGGTTCCCACATCCTCACTGGGTGTGGAAGTTAATGGGGACGGAGGGGTTCTCTGTTTCACTCCCAGAGAGATTTCAAAATGCAGTAGGAAAGATGTTGATGTGATGAGGGGTTCCGAAGTGCTTGGCTGGTACTTGCTAGGTTTACGGAAACTCTCTGTAAGGGGCGCGTTAGATGCTGGTGTGCACCAGGAAAGTTCAGAGCCAGAGAGGCAGCCCTGCCGGGGCTGTGACTGGTACTGTGGCCTGGGTGAACTGGTGTTGATGGGGGCTGGTGGAGGCTGGGCGGCCACAAAGGCCAGGTAAAGGGCTGGCTCCTCAAGGCTGCCACAGCTGTGTGCTGACCCCTGGGTGCTGGTATGGGCTCCTGCTCGCCACCATTTTGGGAAGTTCTGCTACACAGCAGTGGCTGCCTCTCAGAAGCCCACTTTTGAGGACATGGAGTCCACTGTCTTTCCCGCTGACATCTTCAAGAAAGACATTGAGCCCTGTCTCCTCCTGGGGACTTTCATCTGGGAAGGTAGCATTCACCGGGGACCTGCTCAGGAAGCTGCGGCAGCCCAGGTAAGGAACCCCAGTTCACTTCTGGGGTCTCTTGGACCACATTCCCGCGGGGGCTCTTCACTGGCCCTCGATGGGGTGAGGGGCCCGTGATGGACTGTGAGCGACTGGAGCTGCCCTTCTCTCGGTCCCCACTACCCTTGGCAGGGACAAGGGGCCCAGAGGACAGTGAGTTTGGCACTGCCTGGGAAATCTGGGCGATGGATGACGCTGCTGTCCCTGGGATGAGGGCAGGATGTCTTGTCTTGTTCTGCTGATGCCCAAGTGAGCAACTGTTTGGGAAGGTGATTGGATTCTTGAGACTTTCTGGAGTGCACAGTCTGCTTGTGACCCTCTTGATTGCATCTCTGTGTGTGTGTGTGCATGTGCACGCAGGTTTGTGAGAGGCAGGCGGGAGTGCAGAACTGGAAGGGATGCCAGGTGCAAGTTGGTGTGGAGGAAAGGGCATCCTGACCCCGCCAGGAGAACTCTGGGGTGTGGTGCGGGGTGAGTGCTGTGGCCTCGAGGTGTCTTCTCTCTCCCAAGTGGGATCAGCTCGCTGCTGCTTCCCAGGCTGCATGCCCCAGCTACTGAACAACCTGCTTGGGAAACATGCTTCTTTATATGCCCATATGGACCTGCTAAGCTATGGAATGTAAAGAAGTGTGTATTTCAGGCCAGGAACTCTCTCGCCACACTGAGGGGCAGTCCATGCCTGCCGCCAGTCGCCCAGGGTCAGGGGACCAATAGACAGGCTGTGATCAGGTGAGGACTGGGCAAGGCTGCCTGGCGGCGGGACATCCGTGTCCCTGCCGGCATTGTTCTGTCACTTTGCCTGTGTCAGCAGGTGGAAGCGCTCGTCAGACATTAAATATTCAGTGTGCTGACTGCGGCAGAGGGGAGATGGCCTCGGGTTGGCAGGGGCCAGGGGGACGTGGGGTCTTGGTTTGGAGACATAGGGTGGTGGCAGCCTAGGGGCTCCGCTTCCTGCCACCCTGGAAGAGGTCATTCGACAACAGACAGGGCCACGTGTGGTCAGGGGCAGGAGACTGTAAGAGGCCTGGGAAGAGCAGGGACTCCCTGAAGGAGGCGTGGGGGTGTAAAGCAGGGAGAGGACTCCTGTCCACGTGGGAGGAGCCGTGGAGGAAGCAGAGCCGCCCAGTTGCCTTCTGGGTCCTCACGGCTGCACAGCTGGGCAGAGGCACCAGGGATTGGGAGCCCCTGTGTGGAGACGCTGCTGACGTCCCAAGGCCTCCTGTCCCCCCGGTACCTTGGCCACCCATGACGATTAAGACAAAGGGAACGAAGGAGCTGAACTCATGCATCCCTGCGCCCATAGCATCTTCTGGAGGCCTGAGGTGATTTGATTTTGCCAAATCTCCTGGCTCATTCTGCCGTCCCTGCAGCCAGCACTGCTTTGATTTTTCTTTTTCATCAACTCCCAAGTGGAAGTACTCTTTGTGCTGGAGGTTGGAGAGGTTTCTGAAGAAAGCCAGTGTGGGGCCCAGGACTGCTCCGGCCTGTTGTCCGGCCTGTGGCTCAGCCAGTCTTCCTCAGGAGACAGGGCTGTGCTGATATCATTTGGGTCCTGGGCGGCAAGGATAGGTTTGAATCCTGTCTGGGAAGCCCTTTGCACAGGACTGGACCCTCTTGGGCCACATGGAGGGCAGAGGGAAGAAGAGTAGTCCTGATGGCCAAGGGAGGGCGTGAGTGGTTCGTTTCTGGGCCTCAGAGTGGAGGCTATCTGCACCCTGGCTGAAGCCGGTGTCCCCCCCACTGTGCCACTCCTCCACAGCCTGGAACTCTTCTCCTGTGTGGTCAGCGCTGCTGTCCAGCCCTAGCGTGGCCGTGGCTGCAGTGACTGTCTGTCCTGCCCCCGACCTCGGTGGTAATGTGATTGGGAGGGGCAGGCAGGGCCCTGAGTCAGCTGCTGTGAGCGCTGGGTATGGGGGTGTCCTGGACGAAGGGACCAGGGCATATCTGAGCTTACAGGAGGCTTCCCTCAGCGGGGGTGGGGTGGTTCTCAAGGTGAATGAATGTAGTGGAGGAGCTGGCCTGGGGCCTCCACAGTGGACGGTCCCTTTCCAATCTCCACGTTTTCTTCTGGAGGCTGTGTCTGCTGCGTTGAATCCTGTCTGGGAAAGGTCTCTGCTCGTGACCTCTGCTGTGTGGCACTAGTGGCCGGGTGTGGTGGTGAGAAGGTAGCACTGTCCTTGGGTACTGCCTCCCTTTGGCCGGTGTCCCCAGAGGAGTCAGTGCCCAGCACCCCCGGAAGGTCATCTCTGCCTACAGGCTTCCAGCTCCGGCCACAGGGAGGGAAGTAGCCCAGCGCACAGCCACTGGGGCCGCAGGCGGCCACAGGCACACCGCTGACTTCCGTGAGATGCGCCTGTCGTACATTAAAGCTTTATTGCAGGATGTGGTGTTTAAATAAAAGCATTAGTGTTTGGGAATTAGGTTTGACTGAACAGTAAAACTGGAGGGTTTGCAGGGAGTGAGCGTGGTCTACTGGCTATAAATCACCTCTGGTCTCGACCTGCTGAATTAAAAATGAGCATCTTTTGCATTCCTGCCTGGACGCCCAGGCGTGTGTCACCGTGTGTGTCACCATGGGTTGCTTGGGGATACTCAGGACTGAGGGTCGGAGCATCCACATCTTTTCATGAGCAGGGCCCAGCACAGCGTGGCATGTGGGTGCCCAGGACTTTATTCTGCTGGGTCTTTGGATGGGAAGAAGGTGCAGACTAGTGGACTACGCCCTCCCTGAAGGACTATTCCAGAATGATGCCACCCAGACATAATGCCAGGGATGGGGGACTCCAGAAGAAAGGTCAGAGGGATGCCCTGCCCCCTTAAGATGCTCCTGTCACCCGGGGTGG